GCCTGCTTGTGCCCTGAGAGCCAGCCAGAAAGGTAGGCAGCGCAGGTGTCCTATTGTTTATTGAGCACATGGTAGGTGCAGGATGCTGGATGAACAGCAGTGCTGAGCCAGTGGACTGTGGGTGCACACTCTGCAGCGTGCAGGTGTGTGAGACTGGAAGCTGGTCCCGACTGAATGGCAGGAGGGGCTCTCAGCAGACTTTGCCTGGACCTGGCCATCTCACGGGGAGCCCTGGTGGCGCAGTGGATTAAATGCCGGGCTGCTGATTGGGAGGTCTGTGGTTCAGATCCACGAGCCACTGCATCGGAGAACGACGAGGCAGTCAGCATCTCTGATGATTTGCAGCCCTGGAAACCCTCAGGGGCGGTTCTGCTCGGCCTGCTGCTGGGCCACTGAGAGTTGGAATGGACTCAACAGCGATGGGTTTGGTCAGTTCTGGCCCAAGTCCTCCCCACTGAACTCCAGGGTTCCTAGAACAGAGAAGGCTTCCCTGCAAAGGCAGGGCATAACCAGGTTCATGAAGCCTGGGAACTGCGGGCCTCTGAAAGGTCATGCACCCTGTCCCCAGACGACAGAAGCAGGCCTCAGTTCTTCCTTCACCACTCAGCTAGATGAGGAGTATGAACTGGTGAACAAGGCAGATGCCTCTATAAAGACACAGTGCCAGAGCCAGGGCCTCTGGTGGGGCCAAAGAGGCACCTGTTAGTGGTTAAAAGCCAGGCACCAGGGAGGCATCGAGTCAACTGCAACTCGTGGGGACCCCATGTGCATCAGAGGAGGCATGTGCTCTACAGTAGAGTTTTTAATGACTGGTTTTCCAGAAGTAGATCGCCAGCCTGTTCTTCCGAGGTACACCGGGTAGGCTCAGAGTAACACGTTTTGGCTAGCAGCCATGCGTGTTCACCACTTGTCCCACCCAGGGACTCTGTGGGTGACTAGTGGTGACTTGTGATACCAGGGCCCGAGCCCCACATGTCACTGGGCCTCTAAAGTCAGAATGTGCAGAAGGCACTGATGCAAGAACACTGGGCATCTCCGTCCCTCCGGGTCTAATGCTCATTGCTGGCTCAGTGCGGCCTGGAATCGAACATCAGCTCAGCTCTGAGAGTGACCATTAGCCACGGTGTCCTCACGTATCCGCTTTCCTTGGCTCTGGCTTGTTCCCGCTCTTGAAACAAAAGGCTGTGGCGTCCATGTGCCATGGAGTTTGTGGGTGTGCTGCCATTGCTGTTAGAGACGGACACTGCTCGAGCAGTCAGGATTGAGCTTGGGAGGCACATGTCAGGTGCTGCCTGGTGGCTTCTGGTTCACAGCGACCCTGTGTAGAGCCGAGTAGACACCTGCCGGGTCCCATGCCACCCTCACAATTGTTCCCGTGCTTGAGCCCCTGTGGCAGGTCCTGTGTGCCTCCAAGTGGTTCAGGGCCGTCCTCTGTATTGTGGATGCTCTACCGTAGCAAGCATGACATCCTTCTCCAGGGACCGGTTTCTCTTGACAACATGTCCAAAGTCTGTGAGCCTCTCCGCCCTTACTTCTAAGGAGCATTCTAGATGTACTTACTCTGAGACGGATTTGTTTTGATCTTCTGACAGTCCATGACACTTACAATATTTGCTGTCAACACCGTCACTTAAATGCATTGATTCTTCTCCAGCCCCACAATGCACTGTCCAGTTTTTATGCACCTCTGAGGCCACTGTGATGATCAAGGGTGCTTGAAAAAGCTCATGGAAAAATGGAATGAAAAGATAAGGGACACTTCTTACTCACTTTCTGAAGCCCACCCATGATCACAGCCTCTGGAACCAGTGAGTCCTTGCTCCTCCCTTTCCCTGTGTCCACTCTTGAGATTAACAGAGAGCTGACCCACGCCCTGCCCCAAGATGAAGCCCTGTCTCGCCTTCCCGCCCTCGCCTCCTGCTCACTCTGCTCCTCTCCCCTCCCCTCCTCCAGGCAGTGTTTCGGAGATGGCTTGAACTGGGCCGGCTGCTCCATCATTGTCCTGCTGGGCCAGCAGCGTCGCTTTGACCTGTTCGACTTCTGTTACCACCTGCTCAAAGTGCAGAGGCAGGATGGGAAGGATGAAATCATTAAGAATGTGGTAAGCCGGCTCGTGGCAGACGCCTGGGAGGTGGCAGGGCCTGACCACCACGCTTTCATCAGAGAATAGGAGGGCAGGGCGTGCTGCTGATGGAGGCCAGCCCCGCCCCCGCAGGTTGAGAGATACTCAGCAGCCTGGGATCCCGTACAGGAAGCCATGAATCACTTGCTCATAACCCACTGGGATGAATCAGATCACCCTGCAGCAAAGCTGGGCTCCACACCTCCCCTGCCTCTGTCAGACTCAGTGGGACTGGCTCCTCCTTCATGCCAGCATTCCCTGAGGACCCAAAGTGTGTGAGGCACTGGGGTCAGCAAGACCCAATGGTGGCACAGAGAAAGACTGTCTAAGTGAGACTGGGGTGGGGTGTGAGGTGGTTAGAGATGGCTTCCACTCCGCAGCTGTGCTTGAGCCAAGTCCAAAAAGGCCAGCCGCCAATAGGCAGGCAGAAGGGGGCGGGTGGTGGGGTGGGGTTGAGGAGGATGTTCCAGGCAGGAGGAGCAGCGGCTAAGGTATAGGGACATGGAGATAGATGGTTGGCTGGAACAAAGCTTAGGTCTGTGGGCCAGATGGGGAGGAGGGAGAGGCAGGGGCCACCCTGCAAAGCACTCGATGGCCTAAGGTCGACCTTGGTCACCAGAGCCCACAGAGCCCACTGAAGGCCTTTAAACAAGTGACACGATCAGAGGCCTGCATCTGACGCATCAGAGGCCTGCACCCCAACCTCACTGCTCCCTACTCTTGTTCTCCGTTCCCCGCCCTACCTTGCGCCCCACCACTCACTGACACCCCCTCCGCCCTCCCGCAGCCCCTGAAGAAAATGGCAGACCGCATCAGGAAGTACCAGATCTTGAATAACGAGGTGTTCGCCATCCTGAACAAGTATATGAAGTCAGTGGAGACGGACAGCTCCACCGTGGAGCACGTGCGCTGCTTCCAGCCGCCCATCCACCAGTCCCTGGCCACCACCTGCTAGGCAGAGGCCCACCAGCCCTGGGCCGGGGAAGAGGAGGAAGAGCAGGAGTGAAAGCACCGTGGCTCAGCCACAGCAGGGTCCAGCTGGACAACCTTTGGGACAGAGCAGAACCAAGCAAGAACCTCCCCAAGCCTACCCTCCACTCCCAGGAGTGGGCCAGTGCATGCTCTCCCACGTCATCTCCATGGTTGCTTCCCACAGTGCAAACGAAACAAGGAAAGCAGACACAGGGCAGTGTGTGCTTTTGTTTTTACCCCGCCCTCCGCCTGCTGTCCCCTCTGCTGTGCTAAGAGCGCCTGCCCCCACCCTTTCCAGCCTTTGCTCCCCTCACCTTTACACCTTCCGTCTTCCCACGATGCGGCCTCCAACTCAATCCCTCTGTGTGACCCCAAGCCTGAAGCCTCCGTGACCAAGGGAAGGTGTGGCCATCCTTGGAGGTATCAGCAGGCCAGTGCGCCTGCTGCAGCGTTCTGGCTGCTTCATCTGCTGGCTCCCGTCCCTTGAGTGCTCTGAGCAGCATCTCCAGCTGCTCGGGGGTTCCACTGCCAAGCGTGCCCCCGGAGCAGGTGCTGGAAACAGGGTGACCAGCGGAAGAGGGTCTTGTTCCTGGCACTAAGATCCATGGTGTGAGCTCTGCCTTTTCGTAGACTTCCTAGCAAGACATCCTAACTCCCTCCCAGGGCAGTCCTAGCAAGCATCCCCCTGAGGTGAGTCGGGAGTGGGAAGGGCTGGGTCTGCTGTGAGGAAGCAGTGTGTATGTCCACAGCCAGGAGGACTTCCAGAGCCCAGAGCAGGCTTTTAGAGCATCTCATCGTCCTGCTCATGAGACCGTTTCTTTATTCGTTAAGCAGACACATGGGGGCACAGGGCCATGCAGGGGGTGGGTGTTGGAGAGGGTGTTGAACAAGCCAGATGTGGCACCAAGCCAGCATCCCTTTACTGACAGCTGCTTTGTCAGTCTTTCATCAAGACAAACACTCAAGAGAGAGAGAGAGAGAAACTCTAAGAGATTATTTCAGCATGCGTCAGAAATGTCTTGAGGACAGAGAGGTCAGAGGTTTAAATACTCGTCAATAAGTTTTATAAAACAATTTTTTAAATTGTGAATTAGGTGGGGGGGGGGCTGCATTTCAGATAATCAATTTTGTATTCGACAGTATAAGCTACTTATCAGCCTTCCCCAATAGCTTGCCCTGCCCACCTCCTTTGATTTTAGTCAATAAGCTTTTTAACACCCAGAAATAACACCAGGAAAGGACTTGTTTTAGTAAAATGAGAATGCTCATCTTTCTAGAAACTTCTTGTTCTCTTCATGCTCCTTAGAGTTTAGGGGTATGGATTCTGCTCCTGTTTCTCAGAGTGAACCAGAATTTCTTTGCAAAGTCTCCCATCAAACCTGGGGAAACTGTTTAGAAGAACTGAAGTCTTTGGGAAGCCCATGTCTCATTATAGAAAACATCACGTTCTAGGATAGGTTGTGTCCCTGGGCTTTTAAAAACACAGTGTGACATTTGACATTTCCTTCCAGCTCAGGGAGGAAAAGGAGAGGGGAGAGGGGAACAGATAGGTCATTTGATATCCCATGGAAATCATAAAGGAGGGGCCCAGGAGAGGTCAGTGTGTCCCCATCCCCGCCCGTGAGAAAGAGGTGGAACTCTTCTCCATGGGCTCCAGAGGCCACCAACGTCTGAACTTCCTGAGATTCACACATTCAGAGGGAGCTGTCTGGACCCCAGCACACACCTAGTGATTCTGAAATTGGGGGTGGGAGGGGAGAGAGTCCACACCGCACAAGGAAGCAGTGCTATTCTGCTGTGCAGGGGAGTTTGAGAACCACTGCTGCTTGAGGAGGCCATCTCCCCAGGCCAACTCTGAGCCCTGAGGTAAAACACATGGAGGGCAGGCAGGGGCCCCTGCTGAAACTTGAATGGAGAGTTGGAGGGTCCATCAGGTGAGATGGCTACTACAGCAATTCCTCCCCACCCCACATTTATGACCCAACATCAGACCCTCTGGACAGAATGACATCATCCTCAAGACTCAATCCCAGTAAGTGGAGGTCGTAATGTCCAGAGAGCTTTCCTCTCCTCGGCTTGCCAGGAACCCTTATGGGTGAGCACGGAGCAGGCTTACGACTCGTTCCTTCCTACTACTACTGCTGCCCCTTTTTAGTTTTGTGTGTTCAAGAACCAAGAAAATAAAAGCTTTTTAAGTTTTAAAAAGTTAAAAAAATTGTTTCAGAACCTATCCAATGTACCATATTTGTATTAAGAGTTGTTGGGGACTTTTGTACAATGAATTACATTTATTTATGGTGACTTATATTTACGCTTGTGATCCAATAATGATGTTAAATTCTTATATCATATTTGCTATGCAGCTGAAGATGATATGTTGATTTGTATTTTCGGGTACCTGTGTTGAGTGGATAAACATTTCCATCTCCATTAAATTTGCTTCCAAACTCAAGAAACTGGTGTCTTGGTCTTGAAATCCGGTTCTCTTGCCTTCCTCAATAACCTTTGAAGGTCAAGTTAATGCTAATGACCAGGAAACCCTTCAAAGAGAGTGAAAGAAGTAGCAAGGTGAGTACACGCTGGGGAAATTAAATCTGTATAAAATGGTCAGTACCGAGCCAATGACAGAAAAGAGTCCCTGCCCTTGGGAATTTCAGCCTCACCAAGGTAATGGTACATCTCAGGCCCCTAGATTTGAGACCAGAAATGGGGACTGATTTTTAATGAGGCCCCTAAGAAGAGCCCTGGGGGTGTTGTATGTTAACTCATCTGGCTGCTCACCACAAAGTCAGCAGTTCAAAACCAAGAGCCACTCTGAGAGAAAGATAAGCCTTTCTACTCTTGTAAAGAGTTAGTCTCAGAAATCCACCATGGCCCTGTCTGATATGGTCACTATGTGTCAGAAACAACTAGGCAGTGAGGGTGGTTATTTGGAAGGTACCTTGGGGGGTGGGGGGGGGTAGTGGGTTACGTGTTGTGTTGCTAACCACAGGTCAGCAGTTTGAACCCATCAGCCACTACTCGGGAGGAAGATGAGGCCACCTGCTCCCCGAAGCCTAAAAG